CCCAGGGAGGAGGTCACATGTAGATCCTTGTATTCAGTTCTCCCCTTTCCAACCCACCCGCCCTCTACCCTCCCAGTATCACCACTCACACCACTGGTCCTGAAGGGATCATCCTCAGGGCAGGGTGGCAATGCAGTCTTTTACAATAAGGGACAGGGAGAAAGCCTGGGACTCGGGAGGAGACAGGAAAGCTGCTGGGCATGCAAGGTATTGGCCACCCTAAGCAATCAGCACCATCCACTGCCTCCCAGGTTCCAAAGCCTGTGTGTGTTGGTGTTTGGATCACTGAGAAAAGGATGGTCCTAATAGATATCAGACTCATGGTGTCCGTGTCCGTACTATAGTTGTGAAAAACCTGGCCGCAGGCAGTGCTTTGTCCTAGGTGGGAAACCCAAAAGGAGAGTGGTCTGCTGGCAAATGAGCAACTGCTACATGGACAAGCAGCGCAGCTGGATGGTCCAGCTCAAAGCATTGCTCTCCCAGGTCTGAAAAACTGATGTTGCATGGATGTTGGCAGGTAGGCCAGTATTTAATTTTTTTCCGATTTGATGCTGTCTAGTTTTTCCTAACCTCCTTCCTCAGGTTCCAAGCAGTATCTTGACATTTAATCATAGGTTATCATCTTCACTGTGCTTGGAGACCAAAATCCTCAGGGCAGAGAGTGAGAAGATCCAACGCTTAAAGCTAACCCTCAGGAAGTTGACACAAGAAGCTCCGATGAATTGGAAAGATGTAAGCCAATAGCTCTGTTATGTCTCTGAATTGCCCCACAGCACCATGTATACTTAAGCCCCTATGAAGTTTTGTATGGGGGACCTTTCCTTGTAAGAGAGCCAGCTATAGATTCAGACCTATCTCTCCTTAATACCGCAGTGTGCATGAGAGCAGCCCAGTGCCAGGAGGTGTACCATCAATATGGGCTTATTCATGCCTCAGGGGAGGAAACACTGCCCCCCTTATGTCTTCCTGGAGACACAGTTCTTATAAAAACCTGGAAGGACGGGTTCCCCAATTCCCAACTCCAGCCAACCTTGAAAGGTCCCTTCTCAATAATTCTCTCTACCCCTACTGCCGTGAAAGTTCCGGGACAAAGTACATGGATCCACCATTCATGGGCAAAACTGTGGAAGCCATCACAACCAGACCTCTCAGATGCAGATTAAACAGAGCAAGTTTGATGTGAACCATTAGTCGGCCTTAAGATGTGCTTTCATCAGCACCCCAAGACAGGTAAATGCTCTGCAGAAAACCTGACCTCAGACCCACGACAGTCTTTAAGCTAGTAAATGCTATGACACAATTCCTGTGTTAAACTAAGCTTGCAAGCTACACTTGTCAATCCAGTGTTAACTAATACCTCTTGAGATTTCCTTTGAAATCTTCCAGTGTGAGACTAACCCACACTTCCATGGGCATGGCCATCCAATCTTGCCCCCTCGTCTGAGCCTTACCTAAACTGGTCACCTGTTTTGTCTCTTCCAGGGTCATCAGAGAACAAATGACAGAGTCAAATTTGCCACCCCCAGGATCACCAGTGCCTAGATCACCCCAAACTTCATTCCTTTTTGAGACTGTAATACCTGAAACTTCCTTTATCCTCATAAAAATTTTTACTGCCTACAAATTGTAAGGAAATATTATTCTGAGGAACATAATTTCAGAAAGTTAATTCATTATGCTCTGTAAAAACACTTAAATCATATTATTCTTCAACATAAACACACTGGCAATGAGTCAGTTCTGACTCAGAGTTTCTAGACTACAGAGTAGAACTGTGCTGTGCGTTTTACAAGGTGGTTGATCTTTACAGAAGTGGA